ATAGCATAGCATAGCATAGCATAGCATAGCATAGCATAGCATAGCATTAGCACATATGAAACTGCTTTTTTTTTCTCAGCACACCAAAAACCCCAGTAGCTATCCATCACACACACACAAAAAATGGCCCCATAGGCTCTCTGCAATCCTTTCTCCACAGTAGAAATGGCTGCAGGTTACTTTTTCTTCCTTGTTTTAGCCTTTCTGTATTCTCCAAGTTCTTCCTGGGACACAGCGACTCACTCCTCAAACAAGAGCTAAGGCTGAGAGATGGGCTTTAAACAGTACAGCATTTTTTTCTTTGGCACCAAATGCTCAAGATCTGACATCTGGAAAGTAGTCCTCATTTGAGTGTACACCAAGTATTGAAAGTTGTGCTTGGCACTTTATTTATTTTATCTATAACCTATACTTGTGATACTTCAGACCTGAAATTGGACATATAGTACATGTAAATCAACAATGATGAAAATATTTGTTGCCTGGTTGACTGACTGACTGACTGACTGAATGAATGAATGAATGAAGTCTCCAGTAGGCTATTAATTCTGGACCTGTCTGTGAAAATTCAAGCTGAAGGACTTGAAGTGTCTTGTCAAGCAAGCCATGTTTCCTATTAAAAGCTCATCATCTCACCACCTTTTTTATCAACAAGAGTCTAGGTTAGGGGCAGAAGAGAAGAGTCAATGGTTAAGAGCCCTGGCTGCTCTCCTAGAGAACCCTGAGGCACATGGTAACTCACAAATGTCTGTAACTTCAGTCCCAGGGGCCTCCATGGACAACAGATACACACAGATATACATAAAGGCAAGACACCCACACATGTACAAAGTACAAATTTTTAAAAAGAATATAGATTAAAGAATAACATTACTTTCTCTAGTTATTTTATTTCTTTGAAAAGAGGAATATATTAAGGCTCAAAGATCTCTGTTGAAGGAACTGGTGGACCTGTCTGTATACACCCGACAGCAGTGAAACCACTACTATATGTTCCCATTCAGACTACAACTCAACCAGTTAATTAGATTGTTTAAGCAGACATAACCCTCCCCACCTACTCTTGTTGTTGACCAAGTATTAGAAACATGAACTGATGACAACACTTGAGCAAATCCATTCTGATACCAAGCGTCTCTGGATAGCACCAAATGACTATGTTATAACAAGTCTCTTGCCCTTTGTCCAATACCCATCTGGTATTTTCAGGTTCTGGCCAAACATAACTGATTGGAGTACTGGGCAGAGGGAACATGATCTGTTCTTGGGGGTTCCTATGCCCATGTTCCTTATACCCTAATTAAGGGGAAATTGAGATACTATCTACATGAGTGGGTGCTATGCGGTACAGGTGAGTAAACTTTCTAATAAATGTTAGACATGGGTTGTAGTCAATAATTAATGAATGGCCATTTGGATTCACAGAGTGTGGGCCAGCTCCTGGCTTGGCTACTTATAACCATGCAATGTCTGCAACCAGAGACTCTATGCTAAGAGCCCAGATTGTAAAGTCTCACACACCTTGGCTTGAGGTTTCCTATTGCCTCTGCTTGCTAAATCTTTGACTTAGAACATCAGAGATTCGGTCTTTTCGGGTAGCTTTTCATGTTGACCAGTTGAGAGTAGTAAAGAAACTACAAAGAGTTACAGCAGACGCTGATTGAGATCATGTAAGGTGAGTTTAGCGTGGAGTCATAGATGGTCGAATTAGAGCTCAGGGTGTAAGGATATTCAGATGCTGTGACAGGTGTCACCAAAGCTACTTGGATCACCATTCTCTGTTTCCTCCTCACCTTGTAAAAGGGAGGCAACACATGTGTACATGCTTAATACCACTGTGGACCCTGCCAGGTGAGCTGTATGCATGGGCTTCTTTTTGAGGGCATTCCCCAATGTGGGCCTCTAATGGTTTGAATGGAAACTTCCTCACAAAGGCTCATGTATTGGAGCACTTGTTGGAAGGCTGTGGAATCTCTTGGAGATGGGGCCTTGCTCCAGATGAAGGGCTTCATGGGCAGGGCTAAGGGCTTATAGTGTAGGTCTGTCTGGTCCTAGCCAGAGTCCTGTGTCTGCTTTCTCATTTTACCCAGATGTGACAGGCAGTTGCTTCATATTTCCATAGCCACAGAGCCCCATTGTCATGTCATTACAGTTGTACTGAACTATACCTCCTTAAACTGTGAGCCAGGATTAACCTCTTGCCTGTAAGATGTGTTGGGTATTCTGCTACAGGGATGAGAAAAGTAATAAGTGGCCTACGACTGATGCTATGTAGGGCTGAAGAGAGCTGAAATTTCAACAATTGCTCACAGAGGCATGTGAAAGGTGTGTGCTCAAATCTTGACTTAGCCCCTTGCTATCAATGTGATTCTGATAATCCAAGCATCTGAGTTTCATTTCTATAACTTGAAAGTACCTTAGAGCAGAGCTCTAAGTACAGTGGGAAGCTATCCAATCTTGCTACCAGAGAGACCTGGACTCGGCTGGTAAATTACTTTACTTTTCTGAAGGCTTCTGTGAAGATTAAATTGATATCATATATTTGAGAGCATCTGGCATGATGCAGAGTGCTATTAGTTAATGTTCCCACCAAAGCTTACATTGAAATTTAATCAACATTGTGTGGTCTTAATAAATAGAGCAGGTGGAACATTCAAGGGGTGACTGTGTTATGAGTACTCTGCTCTCACAAATGTAGTATTCCATTTATGAACTAAAACATTAATGGACTAATAGGTTACTGAGAGAGTGGGCTTGTTATAAGAGCCAATGGGGGTGGAACTTTATGTGCTTTCCTTATCATAGAATGCCCTATAAATTCTTAGAATTTTTAGAGGTCTCATAAGTAAAACCTTCAACAGATGTGGCCACTCGACCTGTGCTGTCAGACTTCCAGAAACATGAGCCAAATAAGCCTGCATATTTTATAACTAAGATAATCAGCTGCACTGAGTTATATCAACAACAAAGGTTACAGCATATGGTCACGGTTTTCATGAGAAAGAATCCATCCTCTAGTCTATTGCCTTTTCTCCTCTCTTGGTATCTGTATAATGGAGTCCTCATTGCTTTAGTCATGGTGTAGCTGGACATATTACATACTGGTTTTGTGAATGACAAGATCTAGGCAGTGTTCCTATAATACTCATGGTATGCCTAGCACATAGACATATCCTAAGGAATGCTAACTGAATTGAATTGTATCAATTCTTTATCACTGTACCTTTCTGAGGTGAGGCCACATGAGTTAAGATGCTGAACTCAAATCTCAGTTCTGCCACTTAGTATATGGGTGATCTCAGGCAGACCAATAATTTCTTTGTGCTCAGCTCTCATTTATGTGAAGGGCATAATAGCAGTACCTTATCCACAGAGTTTAATGAGACTTGAACATATCAAAAAGCACAAAGGGCTTCACACCAGGTCTGATATGCCATATGAGTATTTAGGCATACATTTATTCCTCATCTAAAGGAAGACTGACAACATTCATATTATTTGCCTTAGAGTTGCATAGAATGATTAAACAGAGCCATTGAAACAGAGACATCATTGTAAAGGGTAAAGTTCTGCACTGTTGCAATTCATACCAACTATCTCACACTCCCACATGAACTCTGGAAGCAGGTGAGAAAAGAGCTAGTGATTTGAAACATCTGCCAGTTGAACAAGTTTATTTAGATTTTAGAAAATATTTTGATGTTATTTTTAATAATGTATGTGTGTTGGGAGATATATGCACATGAGTACAGGTGCTTGGGGAGAACAGAGACATCAGATCCTCCTGGAACTGGAGTAAATGGGAGGTCGATCATGAGCCACTGACTGTGGGTGCTGGGAACAGAAATATCAAACTTGGACCCTCTGCAAGAGCAGTGCATTCCCTCAACTGCTGAGTCATCTCGTATTGATTTTTAATGGCATGAGAATTAACATATGAAGGCCCTTTAGGAGGTAGGAGTATCTGTAGTTTTTAATTTTCTTCTATTTTTCTAAAGTTATTTTTATACAGTGAGAAAACACTAGTTTAATAATACATAAAATAAAACATTTTGACATAATTAAAGTCTTAAGAAAATACTCATAATATAAATTTTATAATAAAATAAATACAAATATTTTTACTTTGTGTAAAATATATTTGCAAGGTAGGATATCTGTATTTATTATGAAAAAGGATGCAGATAAACATGAACTCAAGAGAACCTGAACAAACATTTTCAGGCCAGCTGTTGTATGACTGTTAAGACGGCTTCTTTAAAAAAAAAAAAAAAAAAAGATGGCTTCTTTCAAAATGTGAAAAACCCAATTTAAGGATGATCATGGCAAGTGGAAAATTGTTTCAGAGAGGGTTTTCTTTGAGGTAAGTGATAAGCGCTTGAATGAATGAATGACTATTGACATAATGGTGAAAACTGCAGAAGCCGGGGTTGGAAAGCACCAGACTATTAGTTGCATCAATCAACCCTCTTGTCTAAAGTGTGGATGTCTTCCTGGGTAGACTAGAGTAATGTCAATGAGAAGAATCATTTCTTTAAAATGAGCTAAAATAATTTCTGACACTGATTTCATTCCTCCATTCTGCTTCTGTCCTTGGGGACAATTAAACATGATGTCTCTTCCCAAGAACAGCTTTGGTTAAATGCATCTGAGCAACCCAGGACACATGTTGCCTTGACATGAAAATGCACAAACACACAAACAAAGTAGTGTTAAGAATCACTGTTTTAGTACTACATGAACTCAGTGTATTAAAAGGAACATATACACAACTGGGAGGGAGAAATGATGTATATGTAAGGTGTTGGAAGCAAGAGGATGAGGAGTGGATTCTCCCTCCACCTTCTCTTGGTCCCTCTTTTCCTTCTTCCAACTTTGCATCTGCTCATTCCCTCCTTCCCCATATCACTCACAGAGTCCAATTAGTACTATGCATATGTGTGCAGGTACGGGGCCATCCATTGGTGTATGATCAACCTACTGGGGATGATGCTACTGAT